ATCACCGCGATCGTAAGATCATGGGCAGTAATTCTAGCACCAGACCTCTGTAAATCTAAAGTGGTGACCTGTAAAGGCTTTTGTCGCCTAGGATTAGTAAAAAGTTACGCAGTTTGTTGCCATTGCACGGGCGTGCACAATTTAAAAGCATGACATGTTTGGTATCTATTTACCCGGCATAACATCATCTTTTACAAAAATTGGGTTATGTATTGTGGGTTTTTTTTTTTATAAAATTCAAAAAAGTGTTTTTTTTCCCAAAAATTGCATTTCAAAAACCATGAACTGTGGAAAATACCATGTGACATTAAAAAAAAAAATGCAAAAACCACCATTTTTTTTCTCTAGGGCCTCTGCTTTAAAAAATATATAATGTTTGGGGGTTTTCTAGTAAAAAACACTGATTTTAAAATGTAAACAAAAAGTGCCAGAAATGGCTTGGAGCTATTGCTTTAAAGACATCTTCCAAGCATGTAGTTTGAAGAACTGGTGTTTTTCCTATTTCCTCTTCCAGGTAATACCAGGAAATTGAAGTGATAATGGCACAGGGTCAGGAAATCTGCACAACCAAACAATGGAAAAACATTACATTGTTTAATTTCAGTTTCTGCTCTCACATACAAATGGATGTGCCAGAATTTGGATTTTTTGAACTGATTTGGAATAGACAGTCCATGGCAAAAAGGTATGGCTTACAAAACTGCAAAATTCATATGATGCTGTCAAGAAAGCATTGACCAAAATCCCTGAAGATAGCTTCCAACACTTTATCCTTGTTATTTACCCATAATCAGGAACATACTATAAGTGTATTGACTGAGCAGTCCATATAATTCCTAATTTCTATTATTGATGGGTCATTGGGTAGGGATTGGAGGAGGGAAAGTAGGGAAAAAGGATCAGGTCTAAGGGAAAGAGAGATAGGTTGAGGGACCCTTGTCTACCCAAGGCCTACGGTCCATATAGTATACCATCAGTTCCGGAAGGAAATGTGAAAACCAAGGATATCAAACTACTGAGTATTTTTGCATTGTATCAGATACCCTGGCCTCTACTTTTTCATGTAGCATACTCAGCATGCTTCTGGATTTAGTTTCGGCTGTAGAAAAGAGTGGAGGTTTTCCATGCTTTACCAAATTTCTGCTTAGCATCACTAAGGACATGATCATGAATTTCAACTGAACATTTTTCAATTGAGTACATTTTTAGAAGACCAAGGGGTTTTTTTTACAAAGAAGGTCTTATTCCCTTATAAGGGGGACCGCCTGGCATAACAATGTAGTCAAAAATGAAAAAATAGTGGTCCAAAATTGCTGGGCCATCGGGCATGACCACCGTATATGGTAGAAGATTCCCCATTGTCCATTGGGGGAAAAGTGTCCAGCTGTCCTATGGTGGTGTGAGCCTTCATCTCCTTCACTGAGGAGAGCTTGGTGGATATCGGAAGAAGGCAACCCATGATTCTGTGGCTGTGTGAGTAAATGATCCAAGTGCTGGGAAGTCAGTGATTGTGTGTAGCTTCTGGTCTCTGGGAGAAGTCATAGTCACCGTCAACATAGAGATTCTGTGGGACATTTTTTGTACAGTTCAGCAAGATAGTTAAGAAGGCCTCAAATTGTTCACTTCACCAGTTTTTGGGGTATCTCATGCTCCCCTCACCTCATCCAAGTTCAATATTCCAATAAAACCCTAAAAAAGAGACCCTAGACTGTTCCTTCAAGCCAGTGGAAGAGTGAAGAAAATGCTGTGTGCATGGCTGTGTGTGCTTTATATGGAGGAATGGAATGGAACTAAATTTACCAGTGGCTCTTTAGGGGGTGCGCTACATATAGTAGAGGAGGAAAGTGAGGGAGAGGAACAACATTAGTGAAGCAGGATGTCATCTTGGTGCAGCTCACAGAGGGATGGAGGGGGTATCAGTCTATTCCATCCAATGGCACTGCTCCTCTGGGACATGCCAGTAATATCCTTGGGTCTGATACACAGAGCTCAACAGCTTGGGCTACCCTGAAACAGCAAATCTGGGGCATCAGTCATGGCACCAGCATAGCTGGTATATAGGCATGGATTAAGGATACATGGAAAGAAGCTGCATACTCAGGATGTTGGCCGGTGCAGTCTATATTCTCCACTGAAGTTAGTGCTCAATCCAGCGGCATTGCATAAGGAGAGGAAGTCAAGAGGAGCAAGCTCCTCTATGGTTTCCTGGGTCACTGGAGAAGCAATCCAGTTGGATGTTGTCCCATGTGACTCCCCATCTTGGGACAGGCAGAGTCTACTTAGGACTCTGGCCCCCAGGCTTGGTGTACATTTTGCAAGTGGTTAGTGTAGGGACAGGTCACCCGTCTGTCAGGGAAAGTGAACAGTGATAGGGAAAGGTTCCAGATGAATAGGCTAGGGACAGGCTGGGGACAAGCCATCCTTCTGGAATCCTCCTGATTGGGCGCAGACCAGCCAGGCCACATTCCACCCTCTAGGACAGATGCTGTTGGCGTATCCAAGACCCACTCTGTTCTACACTGCCATTACAACCTGTAAGTGTTCCTGGTCGGCCATCTTCCACCCAGGCTGTATGTAAAGTTTAACTCTGACATTATTATAAGTTCTGTTTACTACAACCGGAATCTGTGTAATTACAGCTGCCGCACCGCACTGCACCTCTGCACAAGTCAGCTGTTAAATCGGTTTCTCAACGTGCATAAAAAAACTAAGGGGTTGATTTTACTAAAGGCAAATAGATTGTGCACTCTGCCAAAGTGCAGTTGTTCCACAGAGCTTATTAAATGAGGTAAAGGCTGCTGACTTCCATCATCCAATCATATACAAGCAAGAATGCTTTATTTTTCCTTGCATGGGAGTGGGTATTGTTTGTAAAGTGAAGCTTCTTCTCATTTACTAAGCTCAGGAGCAACCACACTTGCAAAGTACACAGTCTATTTGTCTGTATTAAACCAAGCCCCATGAGTTTCATATATCACTTAAATGCATCTCCCAGGCATGTAATTTGAAAAAATGGCAGAATTTCATCTGCTAGCAAGAATGGGAAATTGAGGTGATAATGGGACAGGATCAGGAAATCTGCACATCAGTGTCAGAATCTGAATCTTTTTGGACTGCAGTGGATTCGGTGGTTCATGAGCAAAAATGTATGTCTGACAGAGCAGTAAAAGACGCAAAATGCTCTAAAAAAAGCATGGAATAAATTCCTGAAGACGCCTTGCTGAATCCATGTTACAATATATTGACTGTGATAAAATGGATTAGCTAAAGTAACTGCTGGAAAATGATTTAATGAAAATCACGTTCCTCTTTCTTTTTGTGGTTCAATACATGTTATTGCATTGACAAAGTCTGTTACAATCATTCAGTAATGAAGAAGTTACAAGAGAATTGTGGGATTCCTTCCCTTTTTTTTTTTAAAAAATCATACTTCCCTAGGTGCATGTAGCATCGGTCTGATGCTGTGAGGACTCAGTGATCACATGACCACTGATCACTGAGTTCTCACCCCCCCCTGTGAGCAGAGACTGTCACCGCTGTCTGTTCCCCCCCCCACTGGAGTGCTGGGCTGTGTGTAGAGGGAGGGAGCGGCTGGCTCAGGCTCTCAGTGGATCGCTGAGAGGCAGAGCCAGGTACCCGCTCCGGTCTTTGGGGTGATCTTTCCCCAGCCTTGACATCTGCCAACAGAGGACTTCAGCTCATTGTCAGCTAAAAATGGGTCACAGGAGTGCAGAACAAACTGCACTCCTGTGATCCACAGGAGAAGTACAGCTAAATGATGAGCTTTGGCTGTATTTCTCCATTAACAATAGGCACATAAACATATCCTGAAGACATACAGGATTACATAGTTATATAGTTAGTCTGGCTGAAAAAAGACAAAAGTCCATCCAGTTCAACCATACAAAAAAAAAAAAAAACACAAGTTACAATCCTTAGGGTTAGTCAACCATTTGTGAAAATGATAATGAAAGATACTTGAAAACAATAATGCAAACATTTACAGTATAATCAGGAACATTCAGAAGTGTGTTGACTTTCTTTTTATACTTCTTAAAGCCTTCAAAATATCTTTGTTCCTCAAAGAGTAGACAAATGGGTTGAGCATTGGGACCACAACCGTGTAAAGCAAGGCCAGCAACTTGTCCAGCTCCTTAGAACCTTCAGATTCTGGTTTGCCATAAATTACAATGGCTGGACCATAGAATAATATTACCGTGTGTGAGGTGGGAGGTGCAACTGGAATAAGCTTTCAGTCGTCCCTCCGAGGAATTAATTTTCAGTATGGTGGAGATGATGAATACGTAGGAAGTCAGAATGAGCAAAAAAGGAAAAGCTGCAAACAGTAAGTCCTCACATAACAGAAGTATATATCTGCCTGTAACGTCACTAGAGGATATTGCATACAGTTCTTTCACATCACAAAAGAAATGGTCAACCTTTTGTGTGAGACAGAAAGATAATAGAGATGTGGATAACACCTTTACTGCTGCATAAGTCACAGATATTAGCAAAGTGGACAGAGCCATTGAAAGGCATACATCTTTACTCATCAGTAAGGAATATTGTAATGGCTTACAGATTGCTACGTATCGGTCATAGGACATGGAGGTCAGAAGAAATATATCAGAAGCACCGGACCATGTGAAGAAGTACACCTGAGTCATACAGGCAGAGAAAGACATCCAATGGTCGTGTGTTAGGAGTATGGAGAGAAGTTTTGGAAGAGTAGCTGAAACTAATATAACATCACTAACAGCAAGATTACTCAAGAAGAAATACATTGGAGTATGGAGCCGGGGAACCAGACCCACCAGTAGAACAATGGTCATGTTTCCCAGGATAGTCACCAAATACATAAACAGAACTGCAGTGAGAAGGAGACATTGTCCAGTTTTAGAGATGGAAAAAGCTGAAATATAGAACACGTTTTTGGTATTGTTCGAGCATTCCTCCATCTTCCTTGCATGGAAAAAAAAATGATAGTTTATACTTTTTACATTTATTTAGCCAATTGCCATCTGGCTGTTTTACATAAATGACCGGCCTGCTACTTCCTAAGGGCAGGAGGTCATTTGAAAATGGCCACCCCTTGTGATTCTTGTGCATGCCCTCTAGTGCAGTGTTTCTCAACCTTTTTTCGGTCAAGGCACCCTTTAAAATTATGGACAGTCCTGAGGCACCCTTTAATATTATGGACAGTCCCGAGGCACCCTTTAAAATTATGGACAGTCCTGAGGCACCCTTTATAATTATGGACAGTCCCGAGGCACCCTATTCTAAAATGGGGTGCCTCAAGACTGTCCATAATTTTAAAAGGCACCCCATTCTAAAATGAGAAAAAGGATTCTAATAGTTTTATATAACACAGCAACATCCACACATGTAGGACACCCAACATTAGAGGTGATTCATTCTTCCAAAGCAAATACACTTTTGCACACTGGTACTGACTAGTATGTAAGCCGTGTACCGGGGTGGGCTCCTCAGGATACAGTGAAGTCACGAACGAGGAAAGCAATCCAAACACCAGCTTTTGTCACAACAGAATTTTACTTAGATGTGGCAAATAAACAAAACCACAAATGCTGGAATATACAATATATTTACATACACCCAGCCCAAAGGCTGAGACTCTCGTGCTGCACAGCACGGCGCCTCCTGATGGTTGAAGGTAGAAAGTGTAATAATTTACCTACTGGGGGGCACTAATAAGCTGCCACACCTTACCTGTTATTACCCTACAGAGCAGGAATCGGTGTATGGGTGTACGGTATGGGCCAGCCTGCGGTGCAGCACAACAGCTTACAATCTTACACAAATCTATAGTATCCCCCGTCCCATAACTGGTCCTGTAGCACGTGCCTGAGTATTCCTTCTGAGCAAAACGCCAGTCTGGCTTGAGTTTGTAGGATTTTATCAGCTCTCCAATGTGAAATGTCACTTTAAGTTGTGGAGTCCTTCCAATGATCAGTAACAACACTTGCGGCCTGACACAAACAGAGACCCTAACTAACTAACTATAGGCCTGTCTCAGTCCTATGGGTGCCAACACTGAAATGAGGTGCGTGCACGATCTTACCGACTCGGGTCTGCTTTGCAGAGAAACATTTAAAATATTCAGTCTGTTTTCCTTTATATTTTCTTTTACAAAGAATTTTATTATAGAATAGATAGCAGCAGAGAATCAGTCAAAAACAGATGCATTGACCAACAAGAATAAAACATACAAGGTATTCGAAGAATATTACAGAATATATACTGATGGAGAGACATAAAAATAAACTGCGTACACAAGTGCCGTGTATGGAAAAAAAAAGGAGAAAACAATAAGTTGCAAAAATGGTAGACATTTAGAGACCAATGACAATATAAACTCTAAGGAAAAATTGTCACTATATCAGCATACAGAAAGCTGGGAAGATATGAGATGGAGCCTATCTGAATGCAGATAGATACTCCACACGCAGAGCTCTTGATGGAGTCCAGCATAAGGATATAGTATTGCTGGTGCGGCACTCAAAGCAGAAATCACAATCAGCACAAATAGCATGAAGACAGACTAAACAAAAGGAAAGAGAGTAACGAGAAAGGAGACAAAAAACAAAAAAAGGCTCCAAGGGGACCGCAACAGAAAAAGAAGAAAAATAAACTGATGAGTAAATTTTATATCAACAAAAGGGACTGGTCGAATCTCGACAGTTGGGCTATATCAAGCCAAGGACGCCATGTCTGCAGAAATTTTGTATGGGTGTCTAACAGTATAGCTGTCAGCTTTTCGTTAACCATTATGAAGTTCATCTGGTTTTTGACAGCCTCGAAGCTGAGGAGGGGAGTCTTCCAAGCCCTCACGATCGTCAGCTTGTTGGCCATGAATAGGTGTGATGCCAGCTGCCATTCGGGACGAAGCAGGCCCCCTAATGGTTTAAATAAAAGTGCTTCATACGGGTTGCGCTTAATGAGGGCATAAACTCTGATCCACAGTCTGCAAACCTTGGGGCAAGTCCACCAAACATGGACCATAGTGCCCATTTGTTGACAGCCCCTAAAGCAAGTCCAGGAATATGTAAGGATAAAATGAGCCAGACGATCAGGTGTGTAATACCATCTATAAAGAACCTTATAGGCATTTTCGAGAATGATAACATTCCTAGAACATTTAGATAATGCTTGGGTCACGGTCTGCCATCCTGTTGATCCATAGTGCCCCCGAGTTCCGACTGCCAACGCTGATGATAAGAACGGACTGGAGGAGTTCTATAAAAAATAATGGAAGAGTAGACCAGAGAGATTAAGCCCGGAGCATGGGGTCTATGTCTACATTGACTTTCAAAGGGGGTTAACCTGTAGGGTCCCGAGTGTGCCTGTATTAATGTATTGATAAAGTGGCAGAGTTGAATGTAGCCAAATTGTTCCCGCAATGGGATATCGTAAGAGGAGCACAGAGTTTCAAAGGTGAGTATCCGAGTGGGAGAGAGCATGGAATGTACATCATGGAAGCCATTTGCTTGCCACCGAGCAAACTGTCCAGGATTATCACAACCTGGGGGGAATAATGCGTTATGTAGCAAACGTAGTAATGGTAGGTGGGCAGAGATGAGGCCAGTGGAATATTTAATAGAATCCCAAAGACGAAGCGTTAGCGTTAGACTAAGGGATGAAGGTCGATCAGTAGAAGGAAGCCACGGCAAAGAAGAGATAGGAATCGGGTGGGAGTCCATCAAGTCTACAGTAGCCCACAAGGGAAAATGGTGAGATGCATGGAGATGGGCTAAGGGGGCAATATTGGCCGCCAGATAGTAAGACTGAAGATTTGGGACAGATAACCCACCTGTGGTCTTTCGAGCAAATAAAATTTGTTTGCTGATTCTGGGTCGAGAGGAACTCCAAATGAAAGACAGGAGTTTTCGCTTATGAATACGTAATATATGCGAGGGAACAGGGACAGGTAAAACTCGAAATATATACAATAATTTGGGAAGATAATCGCATTGATTCTACCAAGCCACAAAAGCGGATAGTGAGACCAGGAGGACAACATCTCTGTCAAATCATTAAAGACAATGAAATTAGCCCGGTAAAGTCCTTCATAAGTCGGAGTGAGCTTGATTCCTAAATACGGCAAGAGCCATTGAAAAGGGAACAAATGTTTCAGAGTCGGAAAAAGTGATGGTGAGAGGGTAATTGACATAGCCCTAGATTTGGCGGGGTTGACTTGGAGGCCTGAGAGAACTGCAAAGGGATCCAAAACCGCAAGTAGGTTTGGCAAAGTAACCCCTGGGTTTGTAACCGACAACAATATATCGTCAGCAAACAGAGATAACTTATGCTGAGAACCAGCTACATCTATTCCAAAGCCAGGATGAATAGTATGGGAGAAAGTGGGCACCCTTGTCTAGTTCCCTTGCCAATCGGGAACGTTGAGGACTCAAAACGCAAGAACGAGGGACCAAAGCCAAAACGGTGAAGGACCGATATGAGATAAGGCCAGGACAAAGTGTCAAAGACCTTGTTGATATCTAGAGATAGGAGCATCATATCAATTTTGCGAGCATGAGCCAAGTGTTGTAACTGTAAAATGCATCTGATGGCATCTCCGGCTTGTCTGTGGGGGGCGAAACCCACCTGGTCCTTTTTAATCAGACGAGAAAGGAAAAAATTCACACAAGTGGCTAAGATCTTGGTGAGGATTTTCATGTCAATGTTAATAAGAGAAATTGGCCTATAATTTGCACAAGAGGAATGATCTCGATCTGGTTTTGGGATCATAACCACATTAGCAATCAAAGAGTCAGGGGAAAAGTTTGAACCTCCCTTCACCGCATTGAACATATCGGCAAGGTGAGGGGCAAGCACATCAGCCAATTTCTTATAATATAAAGCCGTATATCCATCTGGACCTAGGCGTTTGCCCGTCTTCAGATCTGTAATGCATTGCAGAACCTCCGATATTTGAATATCACGGTCCATCAGGTTCTTATGAGCCTGAGTCAAAGTAGGCAAGGACAGATGGGATAAAAAGTCAGAGATAGACTGGAGATCAGCCCGTGTGGGATCCGTATAAAGTCTGGCAAGTCGATGCCGGAACTCCTCCTATATCGCTACAGGATTACTTGTAAGTGCATTCTGACGATTGCATAAAGAAATCGATTTAGGATGGTGCGCAAAAAAGCGTAATCTATGTGCTAACATGGAATCTGGTTTATTTGCTTTACTATACCACTTCTGGTGCGTCCAACGTAAAGAGCGCTCAGTCTCATCTGTCAAACAGAGATCCAGTTCCTGGCGGGCCTGATCTAGCAATCTACGGTTCGATGGGGTTGGTACCTGCTTAAATTGAGCCGACGCGGAAGCTAGCTTTGATTCCAGCTGACACTGTTTATGTTTGTTTATCACTCTTGCACCTCGAAGCTATCTGAATAATATGGCCCCTAAGAACAGCCTTGTAAGCTTCCCACAATGTAACCGAAGAAGAGACAGAACCCGACTGTAGCTGAAAATATTCTTGGGATTTGTGCAGTAGTTCCGCCTGAATCTCCAGCAGTGAAAGTAGAGAGTCATTCATAATCGAAGAGGAGTAGGCTGGCTTACAGAGGAGAGATCGACAAACCATGGAACTGTGAGGATAGAGACGGAGCCTACTAAGGGAAGATGTTTACGCAATACAAAATCATGGTCAATTCTAGAGTGAGAATGATGAGGGTGAGAGTAGTAAGTAGTCTTTCCCCCGGGGGTGGAATTCATGCCATAGATCTACCAGGTCATGGGTACTTATAGTACGGGTAAAGGATTTAGCTGACGCGGAAGAATCAGAGTTCTCTGCAGGATATTTATTTATTTATTTATCGAGTTTATATAGCGCCAAAGGGTTTGCTCAGCGCTGTACAATAGGGGGGGACAATACATGAAACAGAACAGTAACATCACACAGTACACAAGGGGTTAGAGGGCCCTACTCTTTCGAGCTTACAATCTAGGAGGGAGGGGGTAGAGGCACAGGAGGAAGCGGCTGTGGGGGATGGAGTGGTAGGAGGAGGGAAGGGCAGCGGCTGTTAGGTGAGGGTGGGGTAGGCTTTATTTATCTAGAGAGGGATTTAATACTAAATTGGAATCTCCTGCCATCAAAAGGGAACCCCGTTGATGGACAGCCAGGAGGGAGCAGATATGTGATAGAAAGGGTCCAGGGTTGACATTGGGAGCGTAATAGGTCAGTATTGTGACATCTATACCCTGAATTATGCCCTGTAATAAAAGATACCTGCCACTGGGGTCAGCAATACGCTTCACACAAACAAATGGGATTTTGCTGTGAAAAGCAACAAGGACTCCCCTTTGTTT